ATGTTGCATATTGTAAAAGGACACAAGTGCAACTAATGTGACATTTATTGTGGCAACGTTTCGCTCTGATAAAGCTCCTGGAGAGCGAAACGTTGCCACAATAAATGTCACATTAGTTGCACTTGTGTCCTTTTACTTTACATATTGTCGGTAATTCTACCAACTTTATTACAATGTTGCATATTGTTGCCACGCATAGCAGACGTCACAACCTGTGTAGAAAGCTCTTTAAACATACTGGGTAGTTTAGTAGCTTCTTGGTCCTCTGATAGATTGCTCCAGTTTATATTAGGGGCATTAAAATCCAAAACTGTTTTTGCCTCTTAGGTAAATTTTGTCTTACTAAACGGGAATCATTTACCTGACATTGTTTTAAGACGCAGTGTTATTCACCGAAAATAATTTTTTTTCCGTTCTCATTGTCTTTAAAACCTTTCAGTGTTCCTTCATCGAAATAATGGAGTGATTTGGACGTACTTCTAATATGATGCATTACATGGAAGTTATCCGCAGTTGCTACCCGAGGTTACTGCCAGGGCGGCCTGATAAGAACATAAGAAAGAAGGAACACTGCAACAGGCTTACTGGCCTATGTGAGGCAGCTCCAATTCTCCCACCGGCTTAAGCCAATGCCTTGACCTAGTGAGGTCAAACACGTCACTTAAGGGAGGAGCAGTGCATCCGACCTAGTAGCACAAGCTAGTCAGGTCCAACTCACACCCACTCATGTATTTATCCAACCTATTTTTAAAACTACACAACGTCTTAGCGTCTATGACGGTACTCGGGAGTTTGTTCCACTCATCCACAACTTAATTGCCAAACCAGTGCTTTCCTATATCCTTCCTGAATCTGAATTTTTCCAATTTAAAGCCATTGCTGCGAGTCCTGTCTATGTTAGATATTTTTAGCATGCTATTTACATCCTCTTTATTAATTCCTGTTTTCCATTTATACACCTCAATCACATCCTCCCTAATTCTACGCCTTTGTAGAGAGTGCAGATTCAGGGCCCTCAGTCTACCCGAATCTGCATGACAGTGTCTTCCATTGCAGACACTGCAAGGCTCCAGGCGGACATCAACCAAATCTTTCAGTGGGCTGCAGAAAACAATATGAAGTTCAACGATGAGAAATTTCAATTACTCAGATATGGTAAACATGAGGAAATTAAATCTTCATCAGAGTACAAAACAAATTCTGGTCACAAAATAGAGCGAAACACCAACGTCAAAGACCTGGGAGTGATTATGTCGGAGGATCTCGCCTTCAAGGACCATAACATTGTATCAATCGCATCTGCTAGAAAAATGACAGAATGGATAATGAGAACCTTCAAAACTAGGGAGGCCAAGCCCATGATGACACTCTTCAGGTCACTTGTTCTATCTAGGCTGGAATATTGCTGCACTCTAACAGCACCTTTCAAGGCAGGTGAAATTGCCGACCTAGAAAATGTACAGAGAACTTTCACGGCGCGCATAACGGAGATAAAACACCTCAATTACTGGGAGCGCTTGAGGTTTCTAAACCTGTATTCCCTGGAACGCAGGAGGGAGAGATACATGATTATATACACCTGGAAAATCCTAGAGGGACTAGTACGAACTTGCACACGAAAATCACTCACTACGAAGCAAAAGACTTGGCAGACGATGCACCATCCCCCCAATGAAAAGCAGGGGTGTCACTAGCACGTTAAGAGACCATACAATAAGTGTCAGGGGCCCGAGACTGTTCAACTGCCTCCCAGCACACATAAGGGGGATTACCAACAGACCCCTGGCAGTCTTCAAGCTGGCACTGGACAAGCACCTAAAGTCAGTTCCTGATCAGCCGGGCTGTGGCTCGTACGTTGGTTTGCGTGCAGCCAGCAGCAACAGCCTGGTTGATCAGGCGCTGATCCACCAGGAGGCCTGGTCACAGACCGGGCCGCGGGGGCGTTGACCCCTGAAACTCTCTCCAGGTAAACTCCAGGTATCCTCATAGGGAAGATTTCTGATACATGGGATCAACTTGTCATCCTCCTTTGTATGTTTTCCAGTGTATTTATATCCATTCTGTAATACGGTGACCAGAACTGTGCAGCATAATCTAAATGAGGCCTAACCAAAGATATATAGAATTGAAGAACAACCTGAGGACTTCTATTATTTATACTTCTTGCTATGAAGCCAAGGATTCTATTAACTTTATTGCAAACATTTATGCACTGTTGTCTTGGTTTTAGATTACTGCTAACCAGAACTCCTAAATCCTTTCCGCAATCCGTAATATTAAGATCTACATTATTTAGTTTACATGTGGCATGGTTATTTTCCTGATCCCAAACCAGGTCTCCTAGTTGCTGGACTGATCGATCAAGCTGTTAATGCTCGCCACCCGTAGTCTAAGTTGTGCACCACACCTCTGCTGATCAGGACCCGGTTTGAGGAATCTATCACGTTTTCTCTTGAATCCCCCTTATATGCACGAAGAGAGGATGATGAAGCGCCGGAGTCCTATTATACTTATTGAGTTCTCTCTCGGTGTACTCATCGGTGTGCAGGTTTTGGACCAATCCCTCCAGTATATTCTATGTTATAACTTATTTTAGTTACTCGAGCTACTTGCCAGGTAGCTGGAAGGTGAAATATATGGCCGTAGACCAGCTTCTTCTTTACTGGAGTAATGGAGTTCACAGCCGGCAGTGTGAGGTGCGCCGAAACCAGTCCGGGAGAGGAGATGCTGACAGGAAGGCCGAAGGTCAAGAAGTGAGGCAGAGGCATGGCCTGGTATGTCTACCTTGAGGCCTGACCTTTGGCGGCAACTTTGGGAACAAGGCCTACAGCAACTCGCTCTAGTGGGGACTATAAGAACTAGCATGTAGGCTTGCTGTCTACCTCTATGGAGGCCTGGTCTCAGACCGGGCCGCGGGGGCGTTGACCCCCGGAACTCTCTCCAGGTAAACTCCAGGTAAACAGTTCCTGAGACTTAAAGTTATCCCAGTAATTTTGATGCTTGGCCAAGTTTATACGATCTGTGAATGTTCTCTGTGCATTTTACAGCTCAGCAATTTTTTCTGTCTTAAGAGAGACTAATTCCAATACTCTGTTGGCTTGGCATCTCTTATTTAGAAAGTTTTAGTTATCCAACCTATCATTTTTCTTACAGATGCTGTAATATTGTTCCTTGAACGTGAGATGTGGCATTATCACTTCCAGGTCTCTCATATTTGATGTTTCTTAAAGTATTTCTTCCATTTTTACATATGTATTAACCGAAATTTGTCCTCATTGAGCATCATATTGTCAGAAGTCTAGTGGAAAACTTGTTTTATATCAGCTTGGACGTTCGCTGTGTCTTCTATGAGTGACACACTCATTCAGATTCTAGTATCATCTTACAAAGGATGATACGGTGCTGTTCTAGTGTCCCTCTCAGTATAGGTCAGATATTAAAATGAGAAAGAGAAGTGGAGCGAGTACTGTCCCTTGGGGAACATGGCTTTTCACAAAAGCTGTCCCTGATTTCATTCCATTTACTATTACTCTCTGGGATCTATTTGTTAGGAAATTAAATATCCATCTGCTCACTTTCCAGGTTCCTGCTGCACTCACTTTGTGTACAAGTTTTCCGTGGGTTTTTTATTTTTATCACTTTTACCATAACTTTCAGATTTTTTTGATGAATTTTTGAAAGCGAGTCCAGTCATTGTTCCTACTTATGATCGATTGGAAACTATCCTCTTCCAAGTCTTTGATTTGATTCCTGATGGGGTTCACAATAGGGCTCTAGAAATTACGAAAAAAAAAATGAGTCCAGTTCGGGCTATAAGAATGACAAATGGTTTTAACATATACTGAGTGTAGATAACTGATTCAAAGAACTGACATGTTTATAAATTAGACACATGTGCAACACTTGAATATCTTAATTGTGGAAACGTATCGCTACCCAGAGGTTTCCTCAATCCAATACAGAGAAGAATGGTTCAAGATCAGAAGGAATTTAAGGTAATCAGTCCCTCAGACTGGAGTCGACGTAATGAGTCCATCATCCTTCTGAATGTTGGTTGAAAAGTTCTTTTCTTAATATTTGGGTTCACTCCGGCACTTTTTTTTATTAGTGAGAACTTTATTAAAAATGTCTGCAGATACAGGTATTTCTGCTGTCAGATGGATGTCGGATGAAACCAAGATTCACTCAGAACAACATCTGGAAGTTCTGATGACGCGTGTGTGGATAATTCATTTAAATTTTGGAATAGAGTTCGAACATTCTTTTTAAATTATTTTACCAGATGGACATGACGGTTAACTGGAGCATTTGTTTTAAGTTTCTGGATTTGCTGATAACCTGGCTTTATGTGCCAGGCTGTCTGCTACCTCCTTACCAACCCTTCCTGCTTCATTTAGCTCTTCTTGGAAGACTCGTCCCACTCTGCCCATGTCGCTCAGATGAAGGCCATTTTGCTTGAACAAGTTTCTGTGCTAACTGAAGTTGTCCCACAGTTGTATATAGTCTAGACTCTAGACTCGACAACGTCGTCCTTTATTTACACAAGTCCTTAAGTCTCTGATTCAGAACCATGGATTAGCTGAGCATGTAGGAGCCAACATAACTCATAATTCCTTGTCTCCTGTTTGTTTCATGAATTCTTTATAAGGGTTTTGTTTAAGAAACTCCTGTGATCTAGCATAAATGTATTCTCCGGTGTGTCTGTTACCTTACCATGCAGCTCTTGTAATGAAAGAAACTTAACCTCATGAATGTTTGAAGAATAAGATCCTAGGAATGTATTCATTAATATATTTTTATGAATGGAAAAAAGTTTGACCTACCTCATCAGCAGGTCTTCCATAAAGTGTGTGTAGTTGTGATGGTTGGGTAAGATGGGGATCTCATCAGGGTCGTAGTGAGCGATGAAGCGGTACTGGTGCATGTGTCGCAGGAGACAGTCAGTGAAGTAGATGTTCTCCTGGGCGAACATTTTAGTGTTCTCTACCAGAGTCCACAGTCTGACAGAAACAAAAGGTACTGAGGCGACATCTTTATCCTGTGAGTCTTATGTTTAGCTTGCTGGAAACATGTACTTCATCATATTATTTCTCTCAGAATATAGTAAATACAGACACTCTGAAGTCTACATATAAAACATCCTGGAACCTGTAAAGATTACCAGATCCATTATCAACTTATTGGCTTTTGGGAAAATGTAGTTACCGTCTAAAAGTGTCATGGATATTAATTTGTAGAATTAGGGATGTTAGAATTAGCGACATGAAATTATCTAGTTTATAAGGAGATCTTTCAATGTTCTGAATGGAGTTAAGTCACGAGAGAGCAGACACACAGGTTGGAGGAGTGGCGTCGTCGAAATATGGCGTCGTGTGGGAGAACTGGAGAGTGTATTAGCGAGGAAATCTGGTTTGATCGCTCCCGGTAGGGAGTGTATCGGCGTGAATGGAAGACTGTGAAATAAGTGAACGTCGTGGGCTTCTGTAAATGTGAAATTCTGGAGTGACTCAGCTACAGTAAAGTAGATAAGTGGAATATAAAGAGACGGAATCGTGGCACACATCATGTAAGCTTCTCAATTCATTCTACAGTAGATACTATGTTGGCCGACCTCTAGTATATCTATTAGGGAAGTGTTAGGATGTGGAACCTGTGCCCTTCCCAAATTATGTTTGTGTCATAATTCAGGACTTTGCCTATTAACTTCATATACATAATTTTTCACAGAAAGAGTTGGTGTTTATAAATCTTTTGTTACTCGGTTACTATACAAGAACAACAGTGAAAAAAATACTGGAGGAGCATAAACTAATATTTAAAAATAAAAAAAGTAAGCGGAAAATCAGTGTCAATATATCCAAGTTTATAATATTATTTAACTTCAGTAAAACAGAATTCTTAATGCCTTGTCTTCAAGTTTTGCAGATAAATCTCCTGCCAGATTCCTGGCGGAAGATTTATCTGTAAAAACTTGCAGTTGTGGTCACAGTGGAAGCCATGCTAACCTCTCAAGGGTGTATAAATATACCTAGTTGGATAAATCTTATTGTAGTTAGCTGGCCCAATGGCTAAGCGCTGGCCTGGAGTTTTAAGACTTGCTACGAGTTCAATCCCTTCCCGTGGTATGGTTTATTTTGGTTTAACCCTTGCATTGAGAAGATCACTGAAAATTATAATTGTTTTAAGCCTATCATTGTGCCTATGACCTTTCTAACGTGTGAAGGCTGGATGCTCATGACAAAAATTGTAGTGAGTTGAGAGAACGATTATGTTTGTAGTTACCTGGAGTTTACCTGGAGAGAGTTCCGGGGGTCAACGCTCCCGCGGCCCGGTCTGTGACCAGGCTTCATGGTGGATCAGAGCCTGATCAACCAGGCTGTTGCTGCTGGCTGCACGCAAACCAACGTACGAGCCACAGCCCGGCTGGTCAGGAACCGACTTTAGGTGCTTGTCCAGTGCCAGCTTGAAGACTGCCAGGGGTCTGTTGGTAATCCCCCTTATGTATGCTGGGAGGCAGTTGAACAGTCTCGGGCCCCTGACACTTATTGTATGGTCTCTTAACGTGCTAGTGACACCCCTGCTTTTCATTGGGGGGATGTTGCATCGTCTGCCAAGTCTTTTGCTTTCGTAGTGAGTGATTTTCGTGTGCAAGTTTGGTACTAGTCCCTCTAGGATTTTCCAGGTGTATATAATCATGTATCTCTCCCTCCTGCGTTCCAGGGAATACAGGTTTAGGAACCTCAAGCGCTCCCAGTAATTGAGGTGTTTTATCTCCGTTATGCGCGCCGTGAAGGTTCTCTGTACATTTTCTAGGTCGGCAATTTCACCTGCCTTGAAAGGTGCTGTTAGTGTGCAGCAATATTCCAGCCTAGATAGAACAAGCGACCTGAAGAGTGTCATCATGGGCTTGGCCTCCCTAGTTTTGAAGGTTCTCATTATCCATTCTGTCATTTTTCTAGCAGATGCGATTGATACAATGTTATGGTCCTTGAAGGTGAGATCCTCCGACATGATCACTCCCAGGTCTTTGACGTTGGTGTTTCGTTCTATTTTTGTGGCCAGAATTTGTTTTGTACTCTGATGAAGATTTAATTTCCTCGTGTTTACCATATCTGAGTAATTGAAATTTCTCATCGTTGAACTTCATATTGTTTTCTGCAGCCCACTGAAAGATTCGGTTGATGTCCGCCTGGAGCCTTGCAGTGTCTGCAATGGAAGACACTGTCATGCAGATTCGGGTGTCATCTGCAAAGGAAGACACGGTGCTGTGGCTGACATCCTTGTCTATGTCGGATATGAGGATGAGGAACAAGATGGGAGCGAGTACTGTACCTTGTGGAACAGAGCTTTTCACCGTAGCTGCCTCGGACTTTACTCTGTTGACGACTACTCTCTGTGTTCTGTTAGTGAGGAAATTATAGATCCATCGACCGACTTTTCCTGTTATTCCTTTAGCACGCATTTTGTGCGCTATTACGCCATGGTCACACTTTTGCAAAGTCTGTATATATTACATCTGCATTCTTTTTATCTTCTAGTGCATTTATGACCTTGTCGTAGTGATCCAATAGTTGAGACAGACAGGAGCGACCTGTTCTAAACCCATGTTGCCCTGGGTTGTGTAACTGATGGGTTTCTAGATGGGTGGTGATCTTGCTTCTTAGGACCCTTTCAAAGATTTTTTATGATATGGGATGTTAGTGCTATCGGTCTGTAGTTCTTTGCTGTTGCTTTACTGCCCCCTTTGTAGAGTGGGGCTATGTCTGTTGTTTTTACTAACTGTGGGACGACCCCCGTGTCCATGCTCCCTCTCCATAGGATGGAAAAGGCTCGTGATAGGGGCTTCTTGCAGTTCTTGATGAACACGGAGTTCCATGAGTCTGGCCCTGGGGCAGAGTGCATGGGCATGTCATTTATCGCCTGTTCGAAGTCATTTGGCGTCAGGATAACATCGGATAGGCTTGTGTTAACCAAATTTTGTGGCTCTCTCATAAAAAATTCATTTTGATCTTCGACTCTCAGTCTGGTTAGCGGCTAGCTAAAAACTGAGTCATATTGGGACTTGAGTAGCTCACTCATTTCCTTGCTGTCATCTGTGTAGGACCCATCTTGTTTAAGTAGGGGCCCAATACTGGACGTTGTTCTCTACTTTGATTTGGCATAGGAGAAGAAATACTTTGGGTTTCTTTCGATTTCATTTATGGCTTTTAGTTCTTCCCGCGATTCCTGACTCCTATAAGATTCATTTAGCTTAAGTTCGATGCTTGCTATTTCTCTGACCAGTGTCTCCCTACGCATTTCAGATATATTGACCTCTTTTAGCCGCTCTGTTATTCTTTTCCGTCGCCTGTAAAGGGAGTGCCTGTCTCTTTCTATTTTACATCTACTCCTCCTTTTTCTTAGAGGAATAAGCCTTGTGCATACATCGAGTGCCACCAAGTTAATCTGTTCTAGGCATTAGTTGGGGTCTGTGTTGCTTAGTATATCTTCCCAGCTTATATCGGTTAGGACTTGGTTTACTTGGTCCCACTTTATGTTTTTGTTATTGAAGTTGAATTTGGTGAATGCTCCCTCGTGACTAGTCTCATTATGTCGGTCTGGGGCTCCACGCATACATGTCTGAACCTCAATTATGTTGTGATCTGAGTATATTGTTTTTGATATGGTGACATTTCTTATCAGATCATCATTGTTAGTGAAGATGAGGTCTAGTGTATTCTCCAGTCTAGTAGGCTCTATTATTTGCTGGTTTAAATTGAATTTTGTGCAGAGATTTAAAAGCTCGTGTGAGTGTGAGTTTTCATCAGAGCTGCCTCCTGGTGTTATTACTGCAACAATATTATTTGCTATATTCCTCCATTTTAGGTGCCTTAAGTTGAAATCCCCAGGAGCAAGATGTTGGGTGCAGGAGCTGGAAGATTTTCCAGACAGTGGTCAATTTTTAACAGCTGTTCCTGGAATTGCTGGGATGTTGCATCCGGAGGCTTGTAGACTACCACAATGACTAGGTTTTGGTTCTCGACCTTTACTGCTAAAACTTCCACTACATCATTTGAGGCATTAAGCTGTTCTGTGCAAACAAGTGACTCTGCAATTTACAGGCCAACCCCCCCCCCCTTTTGCCTGTTCACTCTGTCACATCTGTATAGGTTGTAACCTGGGAACCATATTTCGTTGTCCAAGTGATCCTTTATGTGGGTCTCAGTGAAAGCCGCGAACATTGCCTTTGCCTCTGCAAGCAGTCCACGGATGAAAGGTATTTTGTTGTTTGTTACTGGCTTTAGACCCTGTATATTTGCAAAGAAGAATGTCATCGGACTGCTGGTATTGTTAGTACTGGGGGAGGGGATTTTTTTCCGGCATTAGTATCTGTATCTGTTGGTTTGGAGTGGAGGCCATCGACTGTGGTTCCACTCCAGGAATGACTGGATTTGGTGTACGATTTCTGCCATTTCCTGCCAGTTTTTTTCCTTCCTGGCACTAAAAAACCTCTCCCTCTTGAGTGGCTGTGGCTACCCAGGTTTTCCCATGGCCTGGATGTTTTGTATCTTTTTGTCCCCTTTAGATGTTGTGCCTGGCAATTTAAGTTATAGCACAGTCTTTCCTGTACTGAAGAGGTACACATTTCAGGGTGAAAAAGCTTACAGGAAGGGAGTTTGCATTTTCCTGTTGTCATATGGGCATGGCATTTTCTAGGGTGGTCATAGTTGCACGTCCCGTCTGTTTTTCCAGATTTCCCATGTCTGCAGATACCAAGTGCACAGGCTTGGTTTCCGTTTGCCTTGGGTTTCTGTGACTGTATTCCCTGTTGTTAGGTAAGACACATATGCAACAGTTAGGTATCTTTATTGTGAAACGTTTCGCCTACACAGTAGGCTTCACCAGCAATGGAGCTCCCACCAGTTGTTTTTGGTAATAGATCCTCACTATTGCTAGTGGAGTCCTCTTGTTTGCTATTTCCTGTGGTATTTCTAGTTTGCAATATTGGTTTTATCCTATC